AGCTACTGTGAGAACTGTCCCAGCAGGATCCATGTCTGATTCATCTTCGAATTTCAGTGCCTACGCGATGGTTAAGCGCTTGGCTGCTAACTAAAAGGCTGGCAGTTTGAATCCACCAGTGGCTGTGCGAGAAAGATATGGCAATCTGTTTCTGTAAAAATTATAGCCTTGGAAACCCCTATGGGGCAGTTCTACTCTGTCCTATAGGGTCGCTATGAGTTGGAATTGACTCGACCACAGTGGGTTGGGTATTTTTTGGCTTGGTTAATAGTGCTTTAAATTTTGCAGGTCCCTATGCATATATCTGTTGAAAGAACAAATAAGGTACTTATTCATCCTCACCTAATCTGTTACCTTTATGATGAATTGAAGGCTACTCTAGAAATGCCTAGTGCCCTTGCTGACAAGAACCAAGGACTGTATCACCTAGGAGAGACTGGAAACAGCTGGACTGGGTTACATGGAGTAGGTATGTAACCTGGAGAGCAGCTGTGGCAGAGCAAAGGGAAACAAAAGAGGTGTCATTAGCCTTTAACTCATTTACTTACTAGTATTAAAAATCAACCACTGGGAGACTTCCAGCAAAACGGCGCTCTAGGCAGAAGCACCATGCCGTCCCTCCACAGCAAAGATCCAAAAAACTAAGCCGAACAGAGAAAACAACAATCCTGAAACCCTAAAACATCAAATGAAGAGATAAAGAACTCAGCCAAGCACCAAACAGAGTGAGAAAACTGACAGAGAGTGGAGAGCGAGGAGAGATTCATACAGAGGACCCCTACAAGCCAACGCAGCGCGGCTCCGCCATCTTGGACGCCTATCGGCGACCAGCAAACGGGGTACGAGAAAGCAGCTTCACGGAGGTTCCAGCGGGAGACAGAACAACCGGTAATTTGGGATATACGCTTTCCCACCCTCCACCCTTCTTCACCCCCACTCAGCCTCCTCTGCTTCCCGCTGCCACAATCTCTTGTCCGGGAAGCACTGGCTGCTTGGATTCCACCCTCCTGAACGGGCCGGCTCTCTGAGTGTCATTTGTTGGCTGCTGGTGTTGCTTTTTTCCGCTTCTTTTGATTTCTTCCTTACCTCTCACCACCTCCCCCTCCTCTCGCTCAAATACCTGGCTCCATGTGCCATCTTTGCTTCTTCCTGAGGGGCTGCGGAGCTCCGTTCGAGTGTGGAGCTGCTTCCTGGTCTGGGCTGCCATGCTGGTGGGATCCTGGGGCTTTTGTTCGTTTGTTTGTTTTGAATTGTTTTCTTTTCCTTTTCTTGAGTTGGGAGCCCGTTCTGGCCAGGCGGTGCTGCGTGGCTTGGAAACTACCCCCTCGGCTTGCACAGGCGTGCAGACGGATCCCTGAGAGCATTTCTTTTTTTGTTTTTTTTTTTTTTTTTT